CACACACACACACACACACACACACACACACACACACACACACACACACACACACACACACACACACACACACACACTCACACACACACAGTTGGCACGCCTGTTTGTGTTTGTGTGTGCTTATGTGTGTAGCCATGTTCGCTCTACACAACTCCACAAAGAAAAGCATAACTGTGTCTGTCTGTTTCTTCGGACTTTCACCTACTCGTGCTTTTCTTTGTAGAATTGTGTGCAGTGAACATCACAAAATACGCACACGCATACACACACACACACACACACACACACACACACACACACACACACACACACACACACACACACACACACACACACAATCGGGACGCCGCGACAATGGGCGAGGAGGAGGAGGAGGAGGAGGAAGAGGAGGATGACGGCAACGAAGAAGAAGAGGAGGACAAGGAGGACGGCGGCGATGGGCGAGGAGGAGGAGGAGGTGGAGGACAAGCAAGAGGAAGAAGAGGAGAAGAAGGAGGAGGACTCGGAGGAGGGGGAGCAGAAGGAAGTGGACGGAAAGGAGGAGGACGACGAGGAAGAGATGGAGGAAAAGGAGGAGGAAGCGAAAGAGCAGGGAAAGGAGGAGGAGTAGAGAGATGAGAAGGACGGAGGAGGGGGAAGGAGGATGGTATGCATCTGCACGAGGGTTGGAACACGTGTCGGGTCATGGCCGTTGGTGCACGATTTCGACAATGTCCAACTCCCACGACATGCCTAAGTAGCGCACGGGCAGACAGCGGTTGGGGACGCAATTCGAATTCGAATTTGGTCCGATCAGGAGCGTAGATCTCTTAGATCTGACAGCCTAGACCGGAGCATTTTCGTTTACGTTTTCGGATGCCCTACCGACCTCACAAAAATCGTCCAACCTCGCAACCCCGCAGACCTAAAACCCTGATCGGACCCCAAAGCCGATTTTTAACCAGCCCGGACAATGGGCCTCTCTCGGACGACCGTGGAAGTTGTCCGATCGGACAACCCAGAACTAAAAAAGGTCCCGAGCGTCCGGGCTAGTAACCTAGCTTACAAGGATATTTTACGTATTTCCTGCAAGTCGCGTTGTTGCAGCCTTGTCCGAAGTTGACAGTTCGCTCGCAGGTGAGAGTTGAGTTATTGCCCGGGGTGAAAGGTGGGCGTGCAATGTGTCGACGACGAGGTGCCACCACGTGGGGCCTGGGTATGTGCAGCGTCGCAGGCCAGCGGGTCGCCTGACCCCTCGTCTCCTTACCTTTTTTGTGTGTTCCCTTGCATTTATTTTTATGTTTTATTATTATTTTTATTATTCTTCCTACTTTTTTTTTTTTTAATGTCTTTGACTCGGCCATCGGTTTCGAGGCCGACATAGACCGACGGGCCTGGCTCAATTGCTATGTCACCGGACACAGGTGGTCGATACGGCGGTCGAAAACCTTGAGCACGCGCCTCCTTTTTTTGCAAGCCCGGTAGCGGTTTTTGCCTGTGTCGGGTGCCAGCGAAATTCTTCTATCCTATCGGCGTTAAAACACAGACTGAAGAGGTTAGCGTGTGTGAGAGCGATGGGGTTCACGGTCGTGGCTTCCCTTGTTTCTCATTTGGAAAGCGTCGTGACGGGGCCAACATCTGCCGGTCACCGTCTATTATGAGAAGTTCGAGTGTGAGCATGCCCGTCGCGACCTGTAAGATGGTGACCTATACCTGAGCAGGGGCACTGGGGTACTGGCCGCAGTGTCCAGACCGGACGGTTGTTCATGTAGACCCCGCACCACTTCAGCCCTCAAAGTTCTCATTTGCTACTACCACCAAGATTTGCACTGGGACCCATCTAGGCTCATGCCTTAGACCTCGCAACAGGGTCCACTTCCGCCTACTCGTCGTTGCGGGGGAGTAGCGACGATGTCCGACTCGGAGCATTAGGTCGGGCGCTGCAGCGTTGTCCATTTTGGGGCTGATTGATTCAGCAAGTGAGTTGTTACAAACTCCTTAGCGGTTTTCCACTTTCTTTACCGCCGACCTGCTGCCTGTATCATCTAACACCATCAGTGGTGTTTGGGTTAGTGCACAACAATGTATTGACCGGGGCAGGGCGGTAAGGCAACAAAGGCAGAGTAGCGGCAGTGAACGAGGGAGTGAACCTATATGAGAAGTCGCACCCGATGCACGCAAGACGAAGGCAACGATGAGGGAAGCAAGCGTGAATGCGGCGAGGAGAAGTGTGTGGTTCGCCCGATCCTCAACGGATTCGAGCAGGGAAAGAAGCAGGATACGTTTTTTTTTAGTAGGGCGGGCTCAATGGGAAGGTTAGTTGGACCAACAAGTCAATAGACTATGAGCTACTAGGAAAAACTTGTGCTCAAAGATGGCGATGGGGGAGAAGAAGTGAAGGTAGAAAGTGTGGATCTCAGTCGTTTCTCGATGAAAACGGGCGAGAGAGGTTTCAAATTGGGGGGTTTCAGGGGCCGCAATCGCGATTATAAAGTTAGTTCAATTGAAAAGTAGTAAATAGGGAGTTAGTGAGAAAGGTAGCTGCGCGGGGAGATGGTAGAAGCAGAATATGAAAGAAGCGGGGAGTTGGTGTGTTAGCTCATTCTTCGAAGGAATTGAGCGGGGCGGAATGCTATGCTACAGGATTGGAGAATGAGTGAATCTAATGGCTAAGTCGGATTCGAAAACTAGTATATGAATTCGGCGGTATAAGCGTTGCGAACTGCGCCCGGGGATAGGAGATTTTTGAAATATCAATGTATCATTTCGTTTTCTAACGGAAAATTCGTGCAGATTTTGCGCATCCTATCGATGGGAATAACCTTTCCCTATGTCGTTGTGCACACGATTGGAGTGCCATATATATTTTTGGGCTCTTCCAAAATGATTCAGGTTCTTCGTGCATAATTGAAGGGGTTACTTGTTGTGTGCGATAAAGATAAAAAGGGAGAGAGGCTTACCTCTTCCCAATGTTTTGGATTTTGGTGGTCATCGCGCTATAGGTAGTTGTCTCCACTGTTTGTTTTTCAGCTCGCGGTCGTCGTTGAAGCAAGGCTGATCGATCTATGATCGCAGCTTCTGTTTTGAGCGGAGTCCCTTCCCCCACCCGTGTGTATTCTCTTCTCAACGACTATGCTTTTCTGAATTCGCATGAACCTGGCTCTTGCATACGATCGGACACATTATAGAGGAAAAAAATCGATTGTGGAACTCGGATAATTATCAAGGAAAACAATCTGAACTAAGTAACAGAGAGAAAAAGGGAGTCACATGTGGGAAAATCACATTTGTGCTCTTTAAGGTGGTCAGGTTGGGTCGTGCTCATGATGGAGGGTAGCGAATGCCATACTACACGTACAGCGTGGACGGAGCGAGCCAGAGAAAAGGGAGGCTCAATCCGTACACTTGGGTGACGGTGTATGGTTGTTATTGGCTGGAGGAGTTTTTTGTCTGGGTAATTTCGTTAACAAACGAGACTTCAACCGGCTAAATAGCTACACAGGGACCTTTCCTCGTGACCAGTTTCGTAAAGGGACTGTTGGTCAACTAGCCAACAGAGAAGCAAGGATTGATGGGTTGAGATTTTTTCCCTGATTCTATGAGTAGCTAGCACAGCCTGACTGCAACTGCCGAAAGTGACTCTTCCACAGTAGCTCCGAGTGTAACAAGGAGTACCGCTAAAGAGAGTACTGGTTGTTGGGCCACTATAGATGC